TATATATATATATTATTTATTATGCCTTAACCTCCAAAGTATCATTACTATGCTGAATTTTTTAAATCATTGGATAGGCGTTGAGATATTGATATGGAATAGTAAATATCTCGTATAGCATTCATAAAGAGAAGAATTAATGTAGGGGGCTTCATCAAGCTTTCCTCAAAACATGGGATAAGCCTAATGATGCTGATGATGTGGGTGCTGATTCCATTTTTGTATTTAGATGTATGCAGATGTACCCATGCATTCATTTATGTGTGCATATGCTCACCTCAAAACATAATATGTATGTTACTAACTTTAGTATGAACTTAGTGTGTTTTGACGTAAATATAGCAAACACAATTTTTTATTCTCAAAAAATAATTTAATAATTGTCAAAATCTTAAATAATATACAATCAACACAAAGTGTCACCAAAATTAAGTTCAACTGTCAAATAAGTTAAATTATGAACAGTGATATAAATAGCCGAAAATAAGGTCTAGGTCTTATGCATGTGCAAGGAGCTTTGTCCCTGGAAGTAGTTCTTAAGCTCTCAAGAGTATGCATATACAATAATCATATACATGAAAAGAGAAACTTAATTTTATTTCAATATTAAATGTTTTAGCTGCCTTAGATGTTCTATTTATAACTACAAAGAGCCCAAAAAAGAGAACTCATACGAAATCTTTCAGCATGTACCTAAAACAAATGGGGACAGCAATCAGGTTTCCACCCGGGACTATGATAACAGTGGAAGCGAAATCAAGAGAGAAGTGCAACAATAATTCATGGAGGAATAAGAATAATAGTGGGTAATAGTTAGCAATTCCTACTATGTCATGTAAGCTCAGTAGAGTTTGATGGTTGAGTTGAAATTATTTAATAATGATCAAGTTCCAGAAAAAACAATAGAGAATGCATTCGGTTCATATAGGAACCAATGTCATAGGCAAGTTTACACACAATAAACTAGAAGAAAAAAAAAAGTTAATAATTAAAAAAACTAAAAAACAAAATGCAACGATAAACTTGTATAGATGATCATATATGCCTTGATGTATGTATACTTTTAAATTTTCATCATATATTTTTCTGAATTAGCAGTTACTATTCATATTTTGTTGATTTGTGAAAGCAGGAAGCCTTGAAGTGGGTAACTGATCAGCCAGCATGGCAACGATCTGAAGGGAGGGACCATATTCTTCCGGTTCACCACCCATGGTCTTTCAAGTCCGTACGGAGATATATGAAAAAGGCAATTTGGCTTCTCCCTGATATGGACGCCACTGGGAACTGGTAATGATTCTCTCATTTCCATAGTTAACATCTATAATTGGGTTCTTTTTCCACTACTTAAGAAGCTGTTCCATGCGAATAATATTAGTTTCTTGTGTCAATAATGAATTGGTCTTGGAGCCTTTCTAAAATTTTCCAACGTAGGTATAAGCCTGGCCAGGTTTGGCTTGAGAAGGACCTTATCTTGCCATATGTTCCTAATGTCGATTTGTGTGATGCCCAATGTTTACGTGAATCTCACTCTAAACGAAGTACATTACTTTTCTTCCGGGGAAGGCTTAAAAGAAATGCTGTAAGCTCTTTTTAGTTTATTTTTTTCTTAGATTATGTGAACTCGGGTGCTAAATCATGTTCTAAATCCTGTAATCAATTGTTTAGGGGGGCAAAGTTAGAAGCAAACTAGTAGAAATTCTACAAGATGCTGAGGGTGTTATAATAGAAGAGGGAACCGTTGGAGTGGCTGGGAAGGAAGCTGCTCAGAATGGCATGCGCAAGTAAAGAAAAAAAGTTCTAAAGCTAGTTTTTTTTTTAAATTAAACATTTGTAAGATGCTGATTGTTTATGTTGCAATTTTAACTAGTTTATATTGATAACAGATCCCTATTTTGTTTGAGCCCAGCTGGCGATACACCATCTTCTGCTAGGCTGTTTGATGCTATTGTGAGTGGATGCATACCTGTTATAGTTAGTGATGAATTGGAGCTTCCATTTGAAGGACTATTAGATTATAGAAAGGTAGGTTTGCTTCTGAGGGCATCTCTTTTGTATTTTCTACCTCTTGGTATTAACTTTACCCTTTGCTATGTTAATAATTGATTTGAATAACAATATTCTGTGCCCAAAATCATTTGATGTGCTGTCTCTGCGTGCTTGCATCATAAGTTTGGAATACTTCGGTTTGACATTTCTTCTAATAAATAGCCATATTAGATGTAGTGTTTTAAGATTATTTTAGTTTCAGCTTCAACTTCTTTCCATATTTCATTAAATTACTTATCACTGGCATTATACATTTCTTATTTTACATTGATTACCTTAGCTCAATGGTTGTTCTTATTGAGTCTTAATTAATGGTTGTTCTTATTGAATCTTGATAAACCTGCTAGTCAAACGAAGGAAAAGTAGCGAGGCAAGTTCATATATGATAGAACAGATGTTGGATTGTTGTAGATACTAAGAAGAACAAAAAGGGGACATTTACATACATAACACACAATTCTTATATATTTACATTTCTAACACATAAACTTTAGTATTTGCATGCTTACCACTCCAATATTTAACATCACAACAAAAATACCACTATTGCTAGCTTTTTAAAGTGAAATACACCTTTTCATGCATATGTTTATAATACCAAAGTTTTATAAATGTAAATATCAAACTTTAGTAGGTGTTAGATATGTAAATAGATAAGAATTGTGTGGTATGTATGTAAATTTTCCAAAAAAAAATCTCTCTTTAGTTGCGGAAGCTGTTTGAATTTGGAAGAAGCAATGTTCATACTTTGGAAATGGGAATCTAAGTTGATATGTTCTCTTCAGGGCTAAAGAAAGTGAATAAATTTTCAAGGCCCGGATTGTGGGATAAGTGAAAATTCATGTTTTTCGTTGATTGATATTATATATTAATGGTTCAATAATGCTTATTTTCTTCAATTTTTCATCGTTCAGATAGCCTTTTTTATTTCTTCAAGCGATGCTGTACAATCTGGTTGGATTGTAAAATTTCTCAAGAGTATTAATTTGAGGCAAATCGAAGAAATGCAGAAAAACCTTGAAAAGGTTAGTTTTTCTACTCGAGTTAAGTGCAACATTTCTTAAATTGCAGTTGAAACCATGTGTTTCCATAACTACACTAATTGTTTTATTATTGTTTTATTATTCTTCAACTACTAGTATTCGAAACATTTCCTCTATTCAAGTCCAGCTCAGCCACTTGGAGCAGAGGACTTCACCTGGAGAATGGTTTGTGCTCACCCCTTGTTCATTTATTTCTTAATTACTTAAGATCAGAATTTCATTCTTTTTGAGGATACGCTTTACATGTTTCTTTGATAATAATTATTTTTATTTTCTAATCCCATGGTGGCCCACTCCTTCCTTCTGTTTAAACTCGATTCCATCCACATAGACCTACCTCACTCAGAGGCACAAAGCCAGTTCCAGCTTTATTGAAGCAACAAAAAGTTACAAATCATCACACATAAAAAATGTGAAATAACGAAGAGAACTTGTGAACAATAAGAAAAATCACATAATCAAAATTAAAGTAAAAAATTCTTGCAAAAATTAGAACTTTGGGAGACTAAGTAGTGAATTTACAAATATATGATTGGTTTTGTCTGAAGGTAGAAATGAATGTGTAATAAACGTTAATTGCCAAAAGGCTTAGGGATAAGATTGCCTTCTTGGTTGAACCATATATTAGAGAGAATTCACATTATCACTCGGAAAAAAAACAAAGCTATAATAAGCTTCCTATATATGGTGTGTTGTAGGTTGAGAAATCCCTGTGTATAGAATGCAATCCAAAACTCTAGCATAATTTATATGCACCGTGACGAGAAGGAAAGGGGAGCAGCGACCTTAGGAAAGGCTTTAGCTTACCAAAATGATTGAAAATCCAAGTTGAAGTCATAAATACCATTGAATAATCGAAGGAGTAATCAGCCAAAGGCAATAAGCCACCAAAATGAATATTCCGAGAGTTACCAAAAGTATCTAGAAAATATGGCAGCCATTCCAAATTGAACCAGGACAAACAACATCAAAAACATAAATAGGCGCCACAGTTATCAGAAATATTGGCTTTAATATGTTCTCTGGCAAAGTACTTTTAAACTTCCACTTCCTACATTTTTTGTTTAGTAGTGAAGTGATTTTTTTTAAATAGGATGTCAACAGAAGGGCTCCAATCCTGAAATATGATTTTAATTTTTTTTTTTTTCTAATAGAAATGTATTAGGCAGTTATGTGAGTGGCTAAAAGAAATTTTTTTTTAGTAATCTTACGGTTGCTATAATCAATATGGGAGAGCACTTAATGTGGAAGTACATCCCATGTGAAAAAAAAATTCCTTCGGGACTTTACCTTTCTTCAAGATGCATATAAGTTTCAGGTAGTCAAAGATAAATGTAGGTGAGATTCATTGTGTGAATTGCATAGAACATACGTAGTATCAATATTAATTCCCTTACCACCGGAGCATCCTTTTTTTTAAGCCCTCAAATGATTATTTCTAAAGTAAACATAGAAAATTTAATAGCACAACCCTTATACCAAATCTATTGAGTGTGCAGCATGGCATGGATAGATTTATAAGAAAATGCATCACTTTCCATCCGTATATAACAAACCAAGGATCTAATGATAGATATCTTTGAATTTGTTGCCTTCAAAGTGAGTCTTCTTGGTAGTATCAGCGAAATTTCAGGGCTCGTCAATAATAAAGTCTTTCACTCTAGTTATGAAATCACAATTGAGCCAAGATATGTAAACAGTTCCAAATAATAATGTTATTGGCTCCAACATTATGCAATAAATTATTCATTAAACTGGAAATATTCTTTCTAAGGCTTTTAGGTGAAGTGATGGGGATCTAAATCAATGATGTAAGCAGTTCCAAATAATAGATCCGATTAATTGAATCCTGACAACAAAAGAAATGATTGTGTTTCCATCCACTAAGCTAAGTTTGCGTTTTATCCATCATTTTGATGCAAGCAAGATTTTTAGTTTTAGAAGAAGAGATAGTGACCATTGTGATCCGAAGGAAGATTTTTTGCATTTAACCCCATGATAAGACAAATTTGGTCCTCGATAACGGGATCAATAGCATTATAAAATCGTATAATAGACTTACTATAATTGTTATAATACTTAAAAGCTTTTTTAAATAATTCAATAATAGAGGAGACAAATGCTGGCTATAATCTCATCTATACCAAAAACAAGAAGTCATCAGTATAAATCAAATAAGTGATGAGAGTATTATTATTTTTGATACCTTTTGTTTTCAAATTAGCAGCTATTACCCATGAGTATAAAAGAACTGTTATAATGAAGGTGGATAAAAATGAGGATAAATGTCATCATTGACGAAGAATAGATGTAGAGGGAAAGTAACCTTTATAATCTCCATTTATGACCGCTAAAAGTTAAGTAAAAACAATAGTCTACTTAAAAAAGATCTCTGAGAAGGTTAACATTTCTAGTCTATTATATAAAAACTGTGTGTT